CAGACATCGCCTTCGCAGTCCCCGATATTGCCGCTCAGGCCAAGCTTCAGCTCAAGAGCCTCGACTCCGACGAGGAGGTTGCCTGCATCACGTCCCAGGTTACCAACGGCAAGACCGCCAGCGTCGCTGCCGTCTCTTACATCGCCGCCGGTGTTGCCGGTCTCGCTCTCGTCGCCACCGGCGTCTCTGCAGTCAGCTCTGCTTTCGCTGGAGGCAGCGCCGCCCTCAGTGGCAGCGGTACTGGAGGTGCTGGTACCATCAGCCCCAGTTTCACCGAGGTTTTCGGATGGTTCCAGGGCATGGCCATGAACGGCATGCTTTCCGTCAGCTACCCTCCCGTCTACAGCAGCTTCGTCAATAACTTCGGTTTCTCTTGCGGCATCATCCCCTGGACCGACATGCAGGTCGCCATTGACAACTTCCGCGGTGCGACCGGCGGTGATCTGAGCAAGGACAGCGTTGAGATCCTCAAGAACAGCACTCTCATTCTCGCCGATGGCTCCACCGTCGATGGTGGCAGCGCCCTTTTCAAGACCAAGCGTGCCGTTGAGACATTCCACGCTCTCGTCCTGAGAGAGATTGAGACCAGCGTCAACGGAACCACCAGCGGCGACTCTGACGACCCGGTCACCACTATCAAGCAGAAGGTCCAGGGTATCACTGCCTTTGTCAACACTCTCAGTGTCCCCAAGTCCAACACCTTCATGACCGTTCTTCTCATCGTCGCCATCGTCATTGCCGCCATCATTGTTGGCATTCTCCTCGTCAAGGTCATTCTCGAATTCTGGGCCCTTTTCGGCAACTTCCCCAAGGGTCTTGCCGGATTCCGTGAGCACTACTGGGGATCCATTGCCCGCGCCGTCACCTCGCTTATTATGTTGCTGTACGGTATCTGGGTTTTGTACTGCATCTTCCAGTTTACCAACGGAGACTCGTGGGCTGCCAAGGTCCTTGCTGGTGTCAGTCTGGGTATCTTTACCGGCATCCTCGCTTTCTTCTCTTACAAGATTTGGAGCACTGCTCGCAAGCTGAAGCAGGCCGAGGGCGATGTCAGCGGTCTCTACGACGACAAGAGCAACTGGATGAAGTACAGCCTCTTCTACGAGTCCTACAAGAAGGACTACTGGTGGATCTTTGTCCCCGTCATCGTCTACCTCTTCGCCAAGGGCTGCATTCTTGCCGCTGGTGATGGTCACGGTATGGCCCAGACCTCGGCCCAGCTCGTCGTTGAGGGTCTCATGCTTTGCCTTTTGCTGTGGAGCCGTCCCTTTGAGCGCAAGTCGGGCAACGTCATCAACATCACTATCCAGGTCGTCCGTGTTCTCTCTGTTGCCTGCATCCTCGTCTTTGTTGAGGAGTTTGGCATTGCGCAGACCACCCAGACCGTCACCGGTGTCGTCCTGATTGCTGTCCAATCCGCCTTGACCGGCGTGCTCGCTCTTCTGATTATGTGGAACGCCATCAACGCCTGCTGCAAGGAGAACCCCCACCGCAAGCGCAGAAAGGAGATGGGTAAGTCTACTTTCCACGCTACTCAATGGATCATTTTACTGACCCCCGTTACAGAGAAGATGCAGCGCGACATGGACACCCTCACTCCTCTGGACGCGCGCAACTCCCTCCTCATGGACCGCAAGGATCCCGAGGCCGGTACCACCTTTTCCATGTCAAGCGTCCCCGAGAAGAAGGACCACCGCCCCGAGTCTCCCGATCACTACATGGGCGCGGCGGGCAACGCTCCCTACCGCCCCCTGGCGCCAAGCACGCCTTACGGCAACGCCCACCACGACCAAAGCCGCGAGAACCTCGTCCTTGGGGCTGCACCTATTGCCGACAGGGCGCCAACACTGCCCAACGTGGGCGGCGACTTCAACAACAACCCCCACGGCGGCTATGGTGGTGGCGGGTACCGGGGTGTGTATCACTGAAAGAAAAACTGAAAGAATCGGGAGGGAGACGCCTTGACTGGGGGTGTGTGTGTGGTGTACCTGTTGGAATGACGATGAACATAGAAGTGTGGAATGTATGACATATGGATCTCTCTTAGCTCTTCACAGAGATTCCAGAAAGGAAGCCACTTATATCCTATTTATTTTTTCCTTTCCTTATTTCTTATTTATATTTTCAAAAAAAACTTCTTTCCTTGGGTCTGCTCATCCTTTGTCCGTCTCTCTCATTTTTTTCTCTCAAGATATCTACGGATATACACAACAACGTTTTACACCCTCTGCAAACACCAATGGTTATGATATCGACGGCTGCCTTCTAGTGTTTTCTCAAATTATTATTTTTTGCCTTTTTGTCGTGAAGGGGAAGAGGAAGAAGAAATAGGAGGGGACCCTTTTATGCAGTCGTTATCAAACATATACAACCCAAACAGGCTCAGTGTCCCCTGTGGGGATATACACGTTTTATGACCGCAAGTTAATCTTCTTCTTTGGGGGTCAAAAGGCGGAGGGTTTGCATAGCGGAGGAATATGGGCCTCGGATAAGTATATACCTACAAATGGAACGCAAATTAATAGTATGAAGTGTATGATTGTAAAGTGATGAGTGAGAGGCTGAGGTCGAGGAGTTACCTGACGTGATTTTGGTTGCTCTGACTCTTGAGTTTTTTTTTAGTTTTTTTCTTTTTTCTTTTTCGGGATAAATGACAATAGTCTTCCCCAATGAGTAAGAAGCGCGAGGCAGCTCAACAAAGAAGCTGTTCGGGAATGGAAGACTCGCCTTTTGTCTTGACGCTGCCCGAGGAAGGAACAACTCGTGGCAGAGACGGGCCAATTCCTTTCAGCGAAGTTTTTGGGGTCCAATTGCCTCCATTGGACCGGCGTGTGCGAGAGATTGAGTGTAGGCACTGTAGACCATAGCGCCAATTGCTCCCAATACACGGTGCGAGAGAAAATGGCTGCCCCTCATCACCCCACTGAACGTCATCCCCCACGACGGCATCCAACTTGGCTCAAAGTTGGCGGCTCCAGCCTTGCTCTGCATTCGTTTCTTCCGGCCCCCGTCTAACAGGCCTCATCTTGCGGCCGTTGCAGTTACACAGCTCTGGTCGTCTCTGATCTCTTATTACCTCCTCGATCATTCCCTGCATCTGCAACCTACGGCTTGGCATCCCGGCTGGTCGGCGACGCCTGCAGCACACACACACACACACAAACGGGAGACGCGCCGAAATTGCTCCTACCTAAATCCAGAAGATATAAGAAAGAGAAAAAGGAGGGAAAACACCACCCATCTATTGTGACAGAAGCTGTCAACAGAACCAAGGCCCGCCCAACATGAGTGAGTTGCAAAGAGCTTGGGCCAAGAGGAAACTCGACCCCATGCATCCTCTGCCGGAGCCCCTCAACGACCTCGACGAGGAACCCGAGACCGATCAGCTGCCCGAGTTGCCGGAGCACATGGACGACGGAGACTCCTCCTCGGCCTCGTCCGCCTCGTCAGCTTCTTCTACCGGCACCATCATCCCGTCTCCGAGTCAGAACCTCTTTGCTCGGCCGCAAGGGTAACGTATTTTTCTTTTTGCCCTTTGCTGCTTTCCCCTCCCTCTCCATCTATTGCCCTGTGGCTCGAGGAAGGAGAGCACGTTTGCGGTTTGCACTGGGATGCTGATTCTCGCTTCTAGTGTGTCGAGGGGCCGCACGCTGGAGCAAATCCCATGGACGACCTACTTTGAGCGAGAGCTGTTTCTGAAGCCCAAGGTCGGAGATGAGGTTTCTGCCACCGTGACCTACCATGCCTACCTCAATTCTCCTGTCGGGAAGGGACCCCTCTTCGTCATGCACCACGGCGCCGGCTCTTCTGGCCTCTCGTTTGCGGCCCTCTCATCCGAGATTAGGAAACGCCTCCCTTCGGCCGGCATTCTCTCTCCGGATGCTCGCGGCCATGGCTCGACGGTCATCACGGACGGCACCGAGCTCGATCTCAAGCTCGATGTCCTGACAGAGGACCTGTTCAGCGTCATTCAGCTGACAAAAGCCCAGATGTCCTGGCCGGAGCTTCCTCCCGTCATACTCATCGGACACTCGCTGGGCGGCGCCGTCGTCACGGATCTGGCCAAGTCGGGGAAGTTGGGCAATTCCCTGCTCGGGTACGGAGTTCTGGACGTGGTGGAGGGCTCTGCGATGGACGCTCTGCAAAGTATGCTCACGTACCTTTCAACACGACCTACCGGCTTCGCTAGTTTACAGTCCGGAATTGACTGGCATATCCGCTCGCGCACCGTCCGCAACTCGGTGTCGGCGCGGACGTCGGTGCCAGCGCTTCTGGTGTACGACGACTCCATCGACCCGACGAGGCCGTGGAGATGGCGAACGGATCTGGCGGCGACGCAACCATTCTGGGAAGGCTGGTTCGTCGGCTTGAGCAAGAAGTTCCTCGAGGCGAGAGGTGGGAAACTGCTTCTGCTGGCGGGTACGGACAGGTTAGACACGGAGTTGACAATCGGTCAGATGCAGGGTAAGTCACCCGTTGCCCCCACCCCCCCGAGGTATTGAAGAGCCAGAAAGAAAGACTAACACCCTGAAAACAGGCAAGTACGCATTACAAGTGTTCCCAGAAGCCGGGCATTTCATTCAAGAAGATCTTCCAGAAAAGACGGCGCTGGCAGTCGTCGACTTTTACAGGCGGAACGACAGGAGTGCTTTCGTCATGCCGCCCAAGGTTGGCGATTTGCTGAAGCAAGGCAAGAGAGTCTAGGAATCTTGTCCCTGTCTAAATACGATTCCACAGCGAAAGCATATAGCCCCCTTTTTCTTTTCTCGTACGTTCATAGTTATACCCCCCCTAGCTTTTGTGAGCTTGGTCAAGTAGATCATAAGCAAGTCATGCAATGAGTGAACCATCAAGTCGAGCAAATGGTCCAGAGGATGTCCAACTAGTATATAAACCTAGATCTCCTGGTGAAAAGTTTTCGAAGTTGGGACACTTTATCATGGACTCAGGCTGATTCTCCAACACTCCGAGTACACGCTATTTGAAAACAGGCAAGGTATATATATCCCTTAGCTTTCGAGTAGCTATAAAACGTAGTTTACCATGAGGTTTAGGTCTTGGGTCACTGATCTGACCTTGATCGTATTGCACCTACGCCGCCTTCAGCCCCATCGAAACCCCCCTCCTTTTCACTCCTGCCACATAAATTACTCGCGTTGTATCTCTCTCAGCTTTGCTAAGTCTTTTTTTAGTGTGGGATGCTCTCTGAAAAGAGTATTAAATGGCTCTGAACCGACGGTTTGTCGGCAAAGAGGTAAGGCAGCTTGAATTTCTTCAAGATTCCGTGGTTCATATTCGGTGCTTGGAAGCTTTCTCGAGCATGTGAAATGGGGACAAAGGCTTCTATTTGGTGTGGGGGGCTGTCGACGAAAGCGTACTCGAGCAGTAACTAAATTGTTTTTGATCCAGTCTTCGCCTGCTGACTGGCGTATGCCGTGGGGTGTGTATTCTGTATAGAATATACAAGAAGAAGCTCCCAGTACTATGTTGTCCCTAGGTAGTGTGTGTAGAACAAATCTCGAGAGTTACGAGGGTGTAAAGTAATTGCATCACTCACTACCTTGAAGAAGCAGAGGTAACAAGTTGCTAAACGGCTGCCAACAGTCAACGGGCTTAAGGAACCATTACTCACACCAGTTACAAGCCGGACCTATTTAAGGGCGGCTATTAGATCCTTTCGCAGTAACGGGCTAGGCGATTGCACCTGTGGCGAGCTGATGAAAGGGTACTCGAGAAGGTGAGCAGAGTAGTTATCATAGTAATACCTTACTTAGGAAGATAGTACTCACGTAAGTAGCAAGCCCCCCCCTCGGCCCCCCCCCCCCTTTTCCATCAGCTAAAATCATAGATATCCAAGAGACAGAGGGGCCAAAAAGAGTTCACCCCTACCCCCTCTCCCCTCTCCCACCCCCCCGGTGCTGATCTGGGGGCTACATCTCTTGGTGCTCATGCTGGGAAATTTATAGTGCTCATGCCGGGACTCGAACTCGATCGCTAAGCCTGTCGTCGAGTAGGCTGGTTGGTGTAGATAATGGATGTTGACCTTTAACCACTCCACCACCCAGCCAGTTTGACCCGACCCGTCGACCTAGACGGGCGCCTGCTGGCTGGTGACAGGAATGGACTTGGAGGGGTGGGTATATGAAGGCTTGTCGTGTATTCGGGTGGGCGGGGAAAAGGTCAGGAAGGTATGGTCCGGTCGTACTTGCCTTGCTTGCCTTGCTTGCCTGATACACGATAGGCACTGCTCCTGCCGTTGCGCAGAGGCTTGTTTACCTTATCTCAGATGCGCCACTGAATTTGGCGATGTAGGCAAGTTCGCACCAGGAACGGGATGGGAGAATGGAAGGTTCAGCGTTACCATGGTTTCCAAGACTTCGATGAGCAATACGTCGATGAACCAACCCTTTCAGCAAGAACTGGGCCTTCTTTCAAAATCGGAGGCCTCTCTTACCTTGATCGAAGCCAACTGGCACTTTGCCTCGAGAGAACCTTGACAGCTTGTTATGCTTCAAAGCGGATATGTGTTATTGGATTCAACGCCATATTCTTCTATCCTTTCCCAAGCACCAAATGCTATCCAGAACACTTTGCGAGGACAGACCTTGGTCGTCTGCCGTGCCCCTTTTCCATTATATACGTCATTTGTGTTTCCAAACACACACCAGGAACCCAGCCCAGTTCAGTTCAGTTCAGTTCAGTTCAGTTCAGTTCAGTTGAGTTGAGTTCATGCTCATATCATTAATTACGACACAAGGCACATCCTACATTCCACATCCAAAAGTAATCTCACCAGCCATCCACGACCTTGACGTACACGTGCAGCCCCTTTGACGGACGCGCCGTGACGCCGCCCTTGATGGCCATGTTCTTCTCGTCGTACTCCTCCTTGTTCTTGAGGCTGAACTCGAACCGCCCGATCCACGAGGCGAGGATACACGCGAACTCGGCCTTTGCGAAACCTTGCCCGATACAGCTGCGCGGTCCGTGAAGGAACGTCATGAAGGCGTAGTTGCTCGTCGCGCCGCCGCTGTTGGCCGCCTTCTTGCTTTCCGCATCGCCCTCGCGCGAGGGAAGCCACCTGTCCGGGTTGAAGCGGCCAGCATCGGCGCCCCAGAGCGAGGCGTCCTTGTTGGTGGCCCACGGGCAGAGCATGATGCGCGTGCCCTTGGGCACCTTGTTGCCATCGATGACGGTGTCGACGGCGGCTTCGCGGAGGGTCATGGGGACCGGGGAGTAGTAGCGCAGGACCTCGTTGCAGACGGCGTTGAGGTATGGCATGTGGTCGATGTCGAGGGCCCTGATGTCGCCTGGCGTGCCGGGTGTCGGGAGGCGTTCGCGGATCTCGAGGCGGAGGCGGGACTGGACCTCTGGGTTGAGGCAGAGGCAGTAGATGGCCCACATCATGGCCGAGGCCGTGGTCTCGTGGCCCGCGGCGAGGAAGGTCATCATCTGGTCGACGAGGTTGTCCTCGGTGAAGCAGCCGGACTCGAGCGCTACGGACAGGATGTCAATGTCGGTGAGCTGCTTGCGCTCCAGCTTCTCCTTCTTCTCGCGGATGAGCTCGCGGCAGGTAGCGCGGATGGTGTTGGCGGCCTTTGCGATGTCGCCGTTGCGCTGCAGGGGAAGGTGATGGACGAGGGAACCGGGGAGGAGGAGGCCAAGGACTGCGAGGACCTGCGCCTGACGACTGGGCTTGAAGACGTGCTGGTAGGTCTGGTTCAGGGGGTTCGCCGGGTCGCGGATGGCGCCAAAGTCGCGGCCCATGCCAGCCATACCGATGATGTCAAGCGTGGTGCGCGATGCCCAGTTGCCAATCTCCAGGACGGCGGTGTTGGGACCCAGGGCAGCCTTCTCCGGGTCGGTCAGTCCTTCGGTCGCACCCTTTGCGGCCTCGGCGTGGACGGCATCGGTAATGGCCTGGACGCCCTCGCACGCCTTGCTCCAGAAGAGCGGGTACAGGTCCTTTACGTGGCGGAAGGCAAAGGCTGGCATGAGGTTTTTGCGCTGGACCTTGTGGTCGTCGCCCTCGGCCAGCAACACGCCGACGCCGAGGATGCGGCCGATGGACGAGCGGACGGCGCCAGGCTTGTGGAAGTCGTAGTTGTGGGTGACGAGCACCTCAGCGAGAGCCTTGGGCGACGTAATCAGGAGGCGCTCCTGGTTGAACAAGCCGCGGTAGCGAATGATGCCTTCGTGAGGGATGGTGTTGATCCTGAGTGGCGCACATTTAGTCTCTCTCTTCATACGCCAAGGAAGACAGCTTTCTCTCTCTGGTCTTCTACTTACCATTCAATCATGGGCACTCCAGTCGGCTCGCGCATGATCCTCGGGTACTGTCCCATCAACCAGTGATCACCTTTGGGCCCCGGAAGCGAGCGCAGAGACGAAAAGTACTGGGGGAACAAGAAGACGACAAAGATGCCCCAAACCAGCATCTGCAAGGCAAAAGCGCCCACGAATGCGACTAGGAGATGACATCTAGAAAATACTGGCTGTCGCAGAGCCAATAGTACGGCGATTGCTGCCGAGCTGACAGACACTCCGCGCCAGGGGACGCTCATTGTTGCGGTTGTTATTCGAGTCTTTTCTGGAGATTCAATGCCAGCGTAGCTGGTTCTCTTCAATGACGATGACGACGACGACGTCCACGTTGCGACGCAAAAGCGAGCTGTCCGAGTTTCGAGTTGGGCAAAGCGAGATCTGTCAAAGACTGCGTCGTTGGACCTCTAAAGACCTCTTGTGGAAGACGTCAACGTCGATGAGTAGCCTGCGGTGACGGCTCTGATGCTATGTCTCGTTGATCTGGGAGTTTTGCGTAAGTCGCGAGCACTACTTTCGATGACAAGCAAACGACGAGGCCAGACGGGCGTTTAAGCTCCCGGGTAAGGGTAAGGTTATGTAAGGTAAATGATGAAATTTTTAATTTTTTTTTTGAAAAAAAAAAAGCAACAAAAGGATCAAAGCTGTTTCCTGAAGTTTAAGCTCAATTGAAAAGGAAAAAGAGGTGGTGCGTGTGGTAGAAGAAGGGCAGGCAAGGCGAGGTAGAACCCGCGTGGAATGAGGGCCGGGTCGATCGGTTTCATGCGTACGGGGTTGCAGACATGGAACCAAAGCATCGCCAGCACATGCACACCCAGGCAAGAAGAGAGAGGGACGGAGACACAAGAGAAGGCCCACGCACGTACCGCGTCTTCTTCTTTTTTTGGGGGTCCTTACGGCCACTGCTGTCTCTCTGCTGTTCAAGTTCTGTTACTTGGTAAGGTAAGGCCACTTGGTGTTCCTCCAGAACTCCGTTCTTGGGTTGTCTCTTCAGACAAGGGGCCGTGGGGTGGGTGAGTTTTGGCTGTTGGAGACCAGAGATGGGCGAGACGATGAACAACGGAGTTGGGATGAGACGAGACGCGACGGGATACCGGGGTAAGGAGAAGGGGTGGAATGAAAGCTTTCCAAAACGACGACCGGCGTGTTGTAATCTGGTCTTTAGTTCAACCAACAGAGACGAGTCATCATCGAAACCTCTTGATTGTGTATCTTGACAAGATCTGAGATGTTATTTCTAATGAAAGGCGATGGAGCAACTATACGACAAAAGCACGTGGCATCCGAGGTCACCGAGCGGCAAGGGTTAAGGATGGAGGAGGAAGTAAAGAAGAAACGAGATGGATGCTGGGGGACGGAGCTGGAGTGATGACAATGAGCCGGTCTGCCCCCCCCAAAAGAGCCCCTAGCGGATACTTTGGCTTTTCTGCAGCTTGGTGGAGAGAGATGAGAGCTTGGTTCGATTGCTTGACAAGGGAGCTTCTTGTTTCTTCTCGATCCGTTTTAGTGGGCGATTTTGTGGTGTATGCGGCATGTCAATTCAGCATTCCGTCCCCGTCTTACTCAGTCTCTCTCTCTCCCTCTCTCTCTCTCTCTCTTTTTCTCTACACGGATATGTTCATATTTCCCTACGAGTGCGAGAAAGTACGCACGGGATTTCAAAAAGTTCATCCGCAAAAGGCCATGAACGAATCGGCACATGACTCGCGAGTGGTGGTTGTTGAAAAAGGTGGGATGGTTAGGGGGGAGGGATTCTATGGATGATGAGTAGACTGCGTAACTTACATTTGATGGAGACACCAGCTCGAATTGAATGCCATTCTCGTCCTAGCTCGCCGTGGATTGGTTGTTTCGTGTCTTGGAAAAAGGTCCAGCTTGCCCAGATATCTGGGAGAAGTTAGGAAGGGGAACTAAAAGTCCGGGACGGGATTTGGGGGTCCCCCCAATCTCTGGGCTAGGTATCCGCCATCGTCCCAGTCCAACGGGCTTCTGGGATGATTTGTTCGCCCGATCCAACCCTTCGTTCCCTTGTCTTTCTTTTCTTCTTCTTCCATCTTGTTTAGAAGACCCGGCGGGATGTTGCCGGCTTGGGTAACCTTGGGAGCACTGTCCAGTGTGGCAAGCCAGTGTCGTTCCGTTTGCATTCCAGTCGCAGTCGCAGCGCCTCCTTTGCCCGGACCAAAGAGAGAGAAAGAGAGAGAGAGAGAAAAAAAGAAAAAGAAAAAGAAAAAAAAAGCAAAGGACACAACGTTATTGCGATTCCAGCGACTCGGTCCAGTCCCATGCCGATACCACGCCAAGCCTGGCCGTGCGAGGCAAAGGCGATTTGGCTCAGCCAGGAAAAGTCCGACTTGTTCGTTTCGGATGGTCCCTTCGATTGGAAGGCGGGACAAGTACGACAAACGCACAGGTGCCACAAGGGGAAAAGAAGAGTGCCAAGTCGCATAGCATGCCTGTTTCAATCGCGTGGACAGTGCTCTTCTGCTTCTATCCGGACGTTGTGTTTTTTCTCTCTCGCCTCCAGCTCCAGGACGAGTACGACTTGCAGGAATACGGTGACTTTGACCCAAACAGGTAAATAAGGGAACATATCTCTCACAGACTCTCACTCTCTTGCTTCTCGGTCTAGCCCCTCATATGTCCAAACAAGCAGAGCCCTGAACCATCCTCTGCAAGACGAGTTACGAATGAGCATAGTCCAGCATGAAGAAACGTCCCGTCTAGACGACCGAAGAAAAGCCAAATTAGGACTGATTTGTCAAGAAGAACCATGACTGAACCTTGACCATGAACAGTCCAACTTCAGCCCCCAAGTTTGTTGCTGTTCTTCGACCTCGACACAAAAACATCGGGCTGTTACCTTCACCTCACCTGTTGTCCTGAACTTGTCTTTTACAGGAGGCAGGCACAGGCCCAAATACTCACAGAGCACCAAGAGGCGGTTAAAACAACCCAAAAGGGAACAAACCCATCTTTCTCTCTTCCAAACGGGAAACAATCAAGTGCAAGAAAACACGAGCGGCACCGCCACCTTCCAGCCTTTCGCCACCAAGTTCTACGGCAGGCCTCGTTTCCGTTCCGCTGTCTGTGAGCCCGTGAGGTGAGGGTGAAAGGTGAGGCTCAAATCCAAGTAAAACCCCTTCAACCCATCTTTTTTTTCTACCATTCCAACACGCCAAAGATGGCTTTTTCGTGTCACTAACCTTTTCCCGTCTTTGCCTGCGTGCCTGCCATAAACCCAAGCGTCCGTCCATACCAAGTTTGCCCACAGTCCGTTCTCCCCCCTTGTTTCCAAAAAATAAAAACCCCATTGATAATGCACCACCGCCCGGCTCTTTTCGAAGCGAATGCTGCACCGCTCGGGAGAAGCGGCATTGTATTGTCAACTGGGGAATCTGTGGCAGTGAACTTCTGCAGTCCTACACACAACTTGTCCATCCTACATTCGGTTTGGTAGTCTTCCGTGGCACATCAGAACGAAAGTCCAAGATTGGGTGGGTGCTTGAACGGCTGAAGAAAACCATCATCACGGTCCCCCCAAATGTACCCAAATCCTACCCATAACCGTACATCTCCCGCTGGCTGGGCAGAATCACACTTCATGACGGGAGCGACTGATACGGCACGGATACGCTACGCAAAGGGACCACATGGACAACAAGGCCCCAACCAATCGAAGTATGGCCAAACCCATCGTCATCCTCATCGGGCCCGGGCCCGGGCCGCGGGGGCTCCTTACACGCCTGTGCATCGATGCATGTCTGCTGGTCAGCTTTCCATCTGGCAAGTAAGTTTATAGAAAAGAAAACAACTGAAGAACGATGCCGTAAGACGAATCCTAAATTAGCTAAATGCTGTAAGACAACCGCTTTACCTGTCCATCTAACCTAACCGCCTTGTCTATCTAACCACCTGTCACACACTTCGTAACCTCACGTTACCCCAGCCACCCGCTTTCTCCAAAGGGTATCATTATACTACCATCTGATATTCTCCAAAACTCACATGATTCGTGATCCCCCTCTCTCTCTCTCTCCATCCGCACGCGGCACGCCCAAGAACAGAAATAACAACCACCCCCCCCCCCCCCCCTAGCTTCCTATTCTCCTGCTCCGCTCCCGACGGAATAAACCCCGCCGGGATAACCCAAACCCCCGAATCGGCCAGGATGTCCAGAGAACCCGCATACGAAAACGGCACGACCTTCCGCCCCTCCGTCCCGACGGATTTCACACGGGCTAAGGAGAACCCAAATTCCGTTCCGTGCCGTCTACATTGCATTCTCCGCAATTTCGTTTTCCAACGTTTAGAAAAGGAAAGACTCTGCCGTCCAATCATCACCTAGAAGCTACGAGTCTGTGTGTCAACCAAGTCCCGTGATGTCTCGTATGAATACCTGTGTGCCTGCCGACTCCTCCGCTTAGCTCAAGAAAAGTTGTGCTTCATTCCTGTACACTCAAACACCATGTGGTCAGCTATCCTACAACGGGAATATTTAGATGCGGAAGATGAGTGGGATAGAGTCATGTAGTCGTCCGCTCAACTAACTAGAACTAACTAGACTAGCTTGCTGTGTCGCTTCCGCCATGTGTGCGGTGTCGAGTTGTTTGCGTATCGTGGCTGCAGCGCACCGCCAAATAAGTTGAGTGCCCCCCCTGAAATTTGTTCATGATGTGTACACTCGAGCTGGCCCCTCAAGTGGTCTGCCCTCAAAACCTGTCAGATCCAACGGACCCCTTGAATCCTGCTAAAAGACTAAAAGACTTTGAATCCTGAATCCATGCCATCACGAAGATGATGATCCCTGGTTCCCTGAAACGCCATAACCACGCAAAGGAAAATTAAAACGCCGTGATCGATCCGTGTTGAAGGCCATCCTGCATGCCGAACCGAAGCCTGTCCACGAAAGCAAATTGCAGACTGGTTACTAGAACTGTCCCCCAAATCCGGTATGCCAATTACGTCTCCACCGCCCACGCCGTCCACGCCTACGCCGTCCACGCCCGCCAAGTCCATGTTGACTTCCCTATTCCCGTACCCATGGGTTGGCATGGAGCGACACACCATTCTCACCGCCCAGCATACGCCGATGGCTTTCGTCAGGTGCTGCTGGGTCTCCGATGGTCCAAGGGCTCGGGAGGGCTGCCGGCAAAGAGGTTCGGTTCGTGGAGTTCAGATATTCGCTACCATGGAGTCCGTCTGGCATGCCAAGAGCGGTGGGCATGGCTCCACTAGTGAGCTGTGAGAAAACCGGAACTGACAGCGCCGAGGCAGTCGAAGGCTCTCCTAAACCTCCAAAGCCAGTCGCCTGATGCTGGTGCTGGTGCTGGTGCTGGTGCTGGTGCTGATGCTGATGCATGTTGGAACCAGAAAAGGACACCTGTGATATAGCACTGTGGTGCGTACGATGGGAGCCGCTGGGTGCGAAAGCTCCTCGAGCTGGAATGGCAGCATGCGATCTCCGACTACTTTCGTACGTGCTGGACACCGGTCTGGGCCGGCTGCTGCTGAAAGTTGGTGACCCTGGCCCCTGAACACCAGTACGAGGTCTAATCCTACGCCGACTTTCACCGCTGTCTGTTGGGGGAGAGCGGCGTTCACCATGGTTAGACCCAGATCCTTGCGATCGGTTGGAGTCGTCCTGTGCCAAACTGGCGTCCCTATCTCGCATGTAGCCAGCGTAGCCAGCAATGCCTCCGAGGCTCACATGACCGCGATTACGGAAGTACCGGTCAAAGTTTGGGTGTGTGGACGTGATCCTAGGTTCGTGCGGCACCTTGTCTCTGCAGTAAGGGCAGCTGTCCGACTCCTCGAACCATTTCTTGATGCAGTGGTCACCAAATATGTGCTTGCATTTGGGCAGTCGAAGTGGTGCCTCCTTCACACCTTCGGGTGTTTCTACACCGAACTCGTTGTAGCAGATGACGCAGGCTGTGCAAAGTCATGTTAGTCTTCTTCTCTCACAATAGAGCTAGAAATCCTCATAACTTACTCCTCTCGCTCTCTGATAGCTCGGTAATCGGAACGCTCTGAAGAGATTGGATAGCTGATGAGGATGCCACATATTTCGTGGTCACGGAGCCGCGCATGAATTGGGCGGCCCGCACGTGGTCTTCTTCCAGAGTCATGATATGACGTGCCATTTGGGTTGGGTTTCCAGCCATTGCTATGACCTGTTCGAGCGCGCCTCGGTCGGAATCCACGTCGCTGTCGGACAGTGGGCTTTGTCTCCTGGACATTGTGCGGCGAATAGCAGGAACACGGCGTCGCTCTGAATGGTGATGATTTGACGAGCCCAAGCTACTTGAAGAGCTTGAGGTTCCAGAAGATGAGGCGCCTGTAATGTTCCAGGCAAGATTAGCATGTAGACTCTCAGATACAGGCAAACTCCACTCACCTGAAGTAGGTTGGTGAACTTCATGTGGCGGATTGGGGAAGGTCGCATGGCCGCGGTGGGGAGCAGCGGAAGGAGGAGCAGATCCAAACTGTATACGAGCCCCGGAAGATGGTGCTTGACTTGGGCCACTGGTAGATTCCTGTGCCTCGGGCTGGGGGGGATTTGGAGCCGCTGCAAGGTGTTCTGAGTTGGTTTGCGCTACGGCAGAAGTCGATGTGTTCATAGAGTGTGCAGCTGTGTTCAAGGTGCTGTGGCGTGGGGCGGAATTCTGCCCACCAAAGTTCCTCTCAGAGCTAGTATAGAACGGCTGGCCTTGTGCCGGGTGGCCTGCTGGAAGGGCTGTCGATAGATTAAATCTCACCGGAGGGAGCTGCGTATGAGGGAACGACGGTTGCATGGTCGGAGGGCCCCCCATCTCGCTTGGGGTTGCCCCCGAATAGCCACCAGCCATATTGCCAAAGTTCGGAACAGGCGCATGGTTGTAGTAAGGCGCCTCAGAGGCCGAGTTTGAAGGCCGGTGCTGGAGTGCCGGAGGTCCTCGGTGGTTCGTCATGTGAGGTTGGTGTTGCCAGTGATACGGCCCAGACGGCAGTGGTGGTCCTTGAGGTTGCCAGCTTGGGTAATTCGCTGAGGAGTGGACTGGGTCGTAGTGCATTGTCGAGCGGTGCTGTGGTATCCCAGGGACTTGCTGTTGGCCTTCTCTGCTAAGGAAATAAGGGCATCGCGGACGCTGCTGTGCATACGGATTCTGTGCCTGGCCCTGAGACTGCTCCGGATGGTGGTATGCGTAATCCATGGCTTCATCCATACTGTGAATCCCTTCTACTGCTGTGCGAGAAAAGTCCTACCGACTGTTACTGTGAGATTGGCTTCTTCGTCGTGGCCAGGATTGCCTGTAATGGAGAACCACGGTCTCTCTTTCACCAAACAACTTTGCTCTTTTTATTTTATGACCCTCCTTTTGTCGCTTGATTCCCCCTGTTTGTATGCAGCTGCACGGCGTCGCTCGCTTGCTTTTCCTAAGCCCTTGTTCGTTCGATCAGAAGGTGCGTTCTTCGTCGTACAAGCTGCCGCTGGTCGAGGCAAGCGAATCGTTGAAGTGAGCGGGTCCGAAATGAATGTGGTCTGTTGGCAAGTCGTCGTGGACTGACTGGAGGAGGGGTAGATGCGGGTAAGTCTGGGGGCTTATTTGGGGGAAGCCGAAATGCGTTCAACTGGGAGTCGCTGCTGCTATTATCGGTTCGCAATGAAGAGTTTCAAAGGTCGGATCAGAATATTGTCCTCCCAGTAACCCATCGAGGTTTATTTTTGTGCAGTTCGTGTCCTCTGAGCTTGATCGCAGGGTGTTGGGTGAAAAACTCAAAGCCCACAATTCGGTGTACCTGAGAGGTAGAGGCGGTACCGCGATGGAAGAGTCGGGTCGTGAGGTGACGTGAGGTGAGTGTGAGGTGAGTGAGGTGAGTGTGAGGTGAGGGGCGCTGCTGCTAATACACTGGGATGAGCCGCTGGATCATGCCGCTTTCATAAGTTAGTCGGATGCTCGCAAAAGAACGTGATGCAGGCGTCTGTCTCGTTTGGCCGTAATAGGTAAGATGCAGCCTGGGTAAGGGCGACGAAGTTTAATGCCGTGGGGAAAAGAAAAGAAAAAAAAAAGAGGGAGAAAAAAAACAACTGCTGGGAATTCCTCGTCACAAACTAGTATGAAGAGCGGTCTGTGTCTCTTAATCTGCTTGTTCGCTCTTGCTCTTGTCGCAGGGCGGTGATGGAGTAGGGATGAAAGGAGGAGCGTGTAAGAGGATTGTGCGTGGGAGCCGTTCAAGGCGGGGGCATCGAGAGGGATGGGATACCTTAAATGGATGTGGTATGTAAGAGTTTGGTTGAGGGTGACAACTCAGTAGGAGGCTAGGTAAGGTGAGATAGGCCAACACGCCAAGTAAGGCAGTGAAAGAAATGGAGAGAGGTCGAAGGCAGCCTGTTCGTCTTCTTATTAGGTAGTCGAAAAGAGGGGTGACGGTGACTCGATGGGTTTGGTTTCTCTTGTGACAGGCCGCATACGTCGTGACGCCGATGTCGCCGAGCAAGGAATATTGGTCGATGGGGTCGTCGGGAGGGAGGGAGACGCTGGGAGGTTAGGTTTGGTTCACCAGCGGTCGGTGGGCGGCGAAGAGTATCGGCGAGACGACGATGGCTCGAGAAGAGAGGTGGAAGTGGGAAGAAGAGATGGGAGACGGTCACTGGGGGGTGGGAAAGGGAAGGGAAGGCGCGGCAAGGAAAGAGAGAGGGGTGGGCAGGTAGTCTTGGGTTTTGTATTTCGTCGCAGGCAAGAAGGAAGGGAACCTTGGGGACACCAGACGCCAGACGCCAGACAAGGCACCACCACTTATTGAGGCAAGGTGTAGGTAAGAAGGTCAGGTCGACAGGGCCATGGACGACGGAGACGAGAGACGAGAGACGAGGAGGAGACACTCCAGTCAGGCAAGGTCTAAGAGACAATGGGAATGGATGGGGGGGAACCGGAAGGGAAGACGAGGCGAGGTCCAGACAAGGCACCGGAAGCCAAAGCAAAAGCCCACCTTGGACCTCACCACCCCCAGAGGTATAAGTTAGGTATCTCGCTCACACTCGACCCTCACGAAGGACAGGCTTGGAACAAGACAAGACCACTGATGATGGAGCCCTCGCAGAATGCCCGGGCAATGGCACCGGGACGGGGAACTAGTAAGAGCATACAATACAATACATACGTACATGTGCAGAAAGAGTGAGGGAAACCATGCACCAAGACGGGACCGAGTTGGTAGACTGGACAATCAATACGGCTGGGCCTGGGCCTGGGGCTGGGGCTGGGTTGGACCGGCCGGTCTTTACTTTACGGTACTGCTAGCCAGCCAGTTATTACTACCGCTACTCCTCTTCGTCCTCCGATCAAAAGAGCAGCAGCCAGCCCATGACCGGGACCATGTTCCATGTCCGGAAAGTCATGTCGTTGCAGGGCAGAAAGGGCGGGTTGGATTGCTTTGCTCGAACAGGATTGGATTGGACCAGAGCGAACCAAAGACGACGAAGCAAAGTGCAGCAACGCAAAGCACAGCAGAGCAGAGGCACACACAGCACAACATGGGGCAGGGCAGGCAAAGGTAGGAGGGCGTGGCATGGCATGGCGCTGCACTCCCCGCCAGGGAAGACGGCAGACAACAACCCAATGGGGGGTCGGGTCAGGGAGCAAGGGCAGAAAAGACCGGGACTCAGAAGACGACTTGCCGTGAGAGGACGACACACGCTGGGGGTACGGGTGCGGAAGTAAGGTAGTGTGAGTGTGAGAGTCAGAGACGGACGACTGGGCGAGCGCCGAGCAAGAGAGTTGCAGGGCCATGCACATCCGCCGGTCCAGTCCAGTTCCCAGTAGAGGGCCATTTCGTTCCCATCCAACAAAGGATTTGGATTTGAATTTTGCCCTCACAATAATGCTGCATCCGACTCATCCATCGTTTTTGACCCTCTCATCTCGCCTCGGAACCCCACGAAGTCGTCTTCCCGGTCAATGAACCGAGTGTACTTGGTACGGCCTAAGAACAACAAAAAGCAGTAAGAGCAGACCGAATATTGGACGTGGCTGTCGGGAACAGTGGCAGGATGGGTCTGGAAGGAGAATATGACGGAAATTCGACCGCGTGGCCTAGTCCAGGCCAGGCGGGTGCTGATTGCTGGCGCCGCTGTTGGCAAAAGGGTTTATCATTCAATGCTGATGCGGATGCCAGTCTACTAATACGGCGGAACCGTGCTGGGTGACTGGGTACGGCTACCTTATGCGATGCCCTCATTTTGTTCGCAGTGGTCTTTCCCACGTCAATGTTCCACATGTAAACAGGCCCGGCCCTGGTATGTCCGTGGCTCCGTCTCTTTGGAGGGGCAAGATATGCGACATTGACTGCGCTGGGCGGAGGGTTAAATGAATAGTCCCTTGTCGGGTGCGCATCAGGCTGTGGAAGCGGAAGCTGGAAGCGGATGAAGAGGCAGAAAGAAAAAGCCAAGACAAGTTCGGATCTGAGAGTCAGTGAACTGTGAACCACGAATACACCGTACTTGCGTATCCGTACCCTACACTTCCCCTTGCCAAGTTGCCCTTCCCTTGAGACTGAGAGTAACCTTTTGCAGCCTGCCTGGCTAGTGCCCCGTCCGAGACGAGCCACCAACGTGAGCGAGACGTGAGCAACCTTACCAGACATGGGTAGCGAGCGGGTGCGTTTGTGCCATTGTTGTAGGTTCGGATCCTACGGGGGCGGGCGGGTGTCAGTTGGCGGCGGCAAGGCACCTTTCCTTTCCTAAACACTTTTGGAGGCGGCGAAGGAAGAGACGAATTGTGATACGCCAAAGACCGGGTCGAGACCAGGTCACAAGCACCGTCCCGAATGGCGGATGGGCGGTGGTTGATGGTGGCGGCGGTGGACAGGGAGAGGCTTGAGGATGTCTGCAAGTTGCAGCTAGCTCTCGTCATTTCCAGCAGGTTGCGCCTTTCTCTTGGAACCATACATTGGTCATTGCAGAAACCATGTAAGTTGGTATCCGCTGTTGACCATATGTGGACGAATTGATGATGCACCTGGGCGGTAGACTGAAAATTTCTTTGCTCTCAAAGAACGATACGTGATTGAGATGGGGCCGCGGAACCGTTGGGAAGAATGAAGGAGCTGGCAAAGGAAGAGCACCTCGTCTATCATTGTCGACCACATCCATGATCCAAATGAGCTGGAGACCTGAACAGGAGGAAGATGAAGGGAGACGAAGCTGGAGGCGTGTAGAGTGAGGTGTATCAGGAAAAGCGGGCGCTGACGGGAATGCAAGCGCACCGCATCGGCACATCAGCATGTTGGCATCAAAATTAGCAGCAGCGGGCTTAGCAGATTATGATTACTACTCCTATGGTTTGGAAGCGACGATAAGGTAGGTATGCTGTTCTGCCGAAAGCGTCTGAGTATGAGTATGGCCAGATGCCCTTTCCCGAGATTTGTTTCTCTAGTGTCTGCACATTTCTGCCCGCTGATCAGACTGACCGACGGAAGTGAGAACCCACTCACTCACCACTCTAGGTGTCCTCCGAGGAAAGTCCCAAAAAACTCCGCCGTGATTCCACCGGGTGTCATCATGTCGTGACCGGGTCCTGAAAGGACGAAACCTTTCGGCCGTGGTGCTAAAGCGGTATGTATGTAAACGTCAACGACCGGGGGCCAAGGGGTGTGTCAGTAGGTCGCAACGGCAGCGGCAGTCCTGGCTTCGGTTGGTCAGCTCCATCTAAGTGTGAGTGAAGTGCTCACATGAACCAACCACCTGAGCTCGGCCGGTCCAAGCAAGACAACCACTCAATAATACCACACACTCACGGCATCCGCCATAAGGTATCAAGTATCAATAAATACGGCTCAGCATCCTTGCCGAAATGGCCTACGAGGCTATGACTAGGCATTTTTCTCTCTATCCGTATCCCGCGAGCTGCTCACAGCACACCTGGTAGGCTGGCTGGCTTGCCATCTAGCTGGGCCTCATGGGCGGCCCTGGTGCCCACCTCAATGAGCACCGCATGGCTAACTGGGCTTGCAGGATACTGGCATGACAATAGTGAGAGGCTGCTGGCGACCCTCTAAGATCATTGCTCACCAGCTCACTCACTCACCACTATTGCTCTGCCTGGTCTCTGTCGGTGGCACTACAGACGCAAGCCAATTCCCATGCGAAAGAAAGAAATTTTTTTTTACATTATTCAATAGCTCACTGCCACCATAAACAACCACATTTCATGGCTGAATTCTCACAGGTGGCTGCACTAGAAGCAGTATGGCTTCAGGTGTGGGAGACTGTCTGGGGGACCGTGTGATTCGACTTGGCCTGAGAGCAACCAGGGCCGGGCGACAGCGTGAGTGAGAATGAGAGTGAGAGTGAGAGTGAGAGTGAGACTAACACACAACTAACGCAGGCTTGTCAGGTGTTACGAAACTCAACTTGATCGACCAGTCGCACGCGCCATATGCGAGCCCTTCGCAGCACCAGCATGTTTTCGGCTTGTTATACATGAAGACCGCCTTAACACCCGCCATGTACCCTGCCGGCCTGTCCATCCTCCTCTACTGCCTGCGCTGTGGTTTTAATTACCTGTTAAGACAAGTGAGGTATCCGTACCTGTGGTCATCTCGCACTTTCTGCCTCGGAAACCTGGCTTTGCCGCCTTCCCTTACCAGAAGGTGTCTTCTGCGGCTTGCCTCGCAGCTACGGATACCTTGCGCAGTGTTAATTGTGGCACTCTGTACAGACATTCATCGAGTCCTTCCTTGTCGATAAGTTCTGACTTGGCCAGTCTTGCGCTCACTTTGCCTCATCTGGCGGATAGAAGGAGAGACCCTGAACTTGCATCCAGACCGGGGTTCTGTCATCTCAAGCTTGCTTCGCCGGCAGGCCTTCTTTTCCTTGCTATCGCCCTCGTCAACTTAGCCGTCTTTAAAACAAAACACGCTGTCGCCAGCCTCTTTGCAATACCTTCCTGTACCGTCTCTTGCAACTTCAACTCTCACTAGCAGTATTGAGATTGAGGCTTAATGCTCAGGCTGCCCGGGTCAAAGTTCAAACAACCCTATCCGACGGCTTCCCTTGCGTTTGCCCTCTTCTCCCCGGTATTTGCGAGACACAGCGTCTCCACAACTTGACCCCTCAGCCGGACAGCCCTCGACCACGAAATGCACCTAAAAGAACCCAGCAAGCCCATGATGCTGCGGACTCCCTGCCCGCCTCTCACCGGTTTACTGGCCTGCTTGCCAAAAGAAAACCAAGGTCCGAAGGCGACGAAGCTCCTGTTCGGTCCACACCGTGCGCTGTCTCACTCGGCCGTGGTTTTTGTTCTGCCCACATGTAGTGTATCCGTCAGATGGCTAACTTTCCAACTCCCCGGCGGGTGTGAGCACCCTGATTGTTGCGGAATTGCGGCCGCCCTCCTGGGAAAGCACGAGGGGCCCGACAATCCGCCGAGTGTGCCGAGAAGATGAAATCGAGAGAGATGCTTCAAGATACCCAACACACACCTACTAATAGCCAGCGACGTACGTATACGGAAGGTTTTCTCAAGTCGATACCCTTCGGCAGTTTCTCGCTCGTTTTCTCATTGATCGACGTATACCAGACCTGGTTCCTCAGCATCATTGCGAATCCTATCATCAAGTCCTGGTTCGCGCTACCTTGCCTATGGACTGACCGCCGACTTGCCGGCCGGTGTGCACCACCTATCCGTAGACACGATAACGATAAGGAGGGGCAGGGGAGGGTGCCGTTATGGCAGGGAGGGGCCAGCTGTTGGGACCAGCCATCAAGGAACCATGACTTTTTTCTCATTCATTGCCCCTTCACAGTGTCGTACGCCATTCGTATTCCTCGGTTTTCCCCCTTCTCGTCCCTCTTTCCCATGGGCCTTCTTCACGAATCCCACTTCACGTCCGTTACTAACCCTGTCACCCGGGCAGTGGTTGAAAAGTACGGATACATTACGGGAGAGGAGGGGTCGTGGGGGCCTGCCATGATCAACTTGGACCGTTTGCGCCGGGCCGTTCACACCACACCTCTTGTGGGAAAACCAACCACTTCTCTCCTACCTTCAAGGCGTGCCCCCCCCCCCCCCCCCGCCTTGGGCCATGCTAACGTAGGTATGCTCCCTCATCTGCATCAGCAGCGCATTCAGCTCTGGTCCTAGGCGGAAGATACCCATTACCGGCCCCCATTTGAATGGACCCCTGACGGTGACTCACTTCATATCTGAGTCTTGGGTCCTCCAAGTCCTCACGTCCTGTCACTATTCCCAACTGGCCAAGAACCAGGCGTTTCTCCGATTCAAAATAACCCACAATCTCACTTCTCCGATTCTGCGTTCTCGCAATTTCACACACCTCAAACCAGCAAGCTACGTCATAACAGGTTCTAGCTCCCCCTCCGAAAGGAACAGACACGAGGGAAATGCAAGGACCCCGCGGCTTTGTCCTAACAAGACCCCAGTCATGACCCTGCTGCAAGACGACCTAGCTTCGAGGAGACGGTACTTATCCATTGGCTGAAGCCCTTTTTGGTCGCTAACCTCGTCTCTCATTCGTTTTCGAAGCAGCGGGATCCCCGCGACGATCTTCTGAGCCCTGGTTCGCGCTAAGATAAAGTGTCCCCGGCTGCGCTCGACACTACCTGTTATCGACTGCTTTTGTGAGCCTTCTCTCTGTCCCTCCCTTCTCTTGTCCCACCTCCCTGTCCCTCGTCCCCGTCGCCTGACCAAGTGAGATTTTACTTCATTTCACAGACTTTTCCCGCCAAGTCAAGTTTGTTTTGCTTCAGATGTTCGTCTCATCATTCAGCGCTCCAGGCTCGCCACAAGGGTGGACTGCCTCATTATTGGACCTCGAGTCAGCACC